TATCCTGAACACCTCGTGATATCGGTACAACGTAGCTACAACGAGAACCGTATCGAGAGTTCGTGTTCTAAGTAGAAAATCACATCGGATGTGACCAAATTGTTGACATCCATAACTGCAAATTTGCTGCCTACGAACAGTCATTGCGCTAGAATCCATTGGTTTTGGATTATCAGTAGTAGCACTTACTGCTTCCATCGGATAAATCGACTGACCACGTTCTTGACGTTAGCAGTAGTTCTCACGCAATGCAATCATTATTGCATCTTCTAAAGTCGTCGGACTCTGGCGGATGACTTCAGTCTTAGTAGGATAGTAAGTCCATCCATTAGCACAGTGACCATCACAGTCTCTGGCAGTCGCTTGCCATACTGGCACGAAGTCCACGGAGCTTCTGTGCATAGTTAGATAATGTGTCATTGTCTTGACGGCATAACAAAAGCTTCGACCGCTGTCGAAAAGCCACATTCGGTGGAAGGAACACCCTTTCTATAGCCCTAGTTACTCTTCCATGGTACAAGTAGCCGGGTCCCTGACTTTCCACTTCATCGCACAATCTTTCACACAGCCATCCAAGCGCGGCATGGCGACGGCCACTTGACTATGGTCGTCAAAAATTTGAGCCATCACGATAGCGTTGTTAATTTCTTACTGCCAAAATGCATTATGTCCATCTGGATTTCCGCGAAAAACTTTTATGTTGATTTTAACGGGACGTTCCGTGTGTATAGACGGTTTTACCACCACTTGTGGTTGAGGTGAACAAGCTGGTGTCGGTATGTCATAGGACAGAAATACCAATAAATAATTCTTGATCGTACGCAGCAAAATTAGCTAAGACTTGAGTTATCGCGTTATGATCTCATCGCAGTGTGTCGAAGCTCGCATGATCTCCAATTAGAGCTCGCAGCTTCACCACGTACTTTCACTCCGAGTGTGTTAGGGGCGAATAATCTCCCCTGTTGATCCGAGGGCGAATCGCCTAGGGTGTCCAAATTAGTAATAGATGAATCCATCGTAGCAGTTGGCGTTGGAATGACAACTAGTGCTAGCTCCGCAGGGTAACGGGATTTGCCCGTCCGGAGACATGCGATAGAATTTAATAAGGTAACACGCTTCACCACGTGTTGCTCATTTCCAATGAGCTGTTGATTTGCGCGAACGATGAGGAAGAGGCAAAGTGAAATTTATTATGGCAAATAGGCCTTAAACTGACAAGTACCTCCGATTCTGATATGTCAGAATCGAGAGAGATATGAGTATGCAAGATATAAAGCTAATGCGACCACTCACAGAATTCTGTGGTTCAATAATATGTGAGATAGGACTGACCCCATTGCAGTCTTTTTTGAATGGAAGACCATTTCACTCCGTATTCACCTTGGTGAGAAGGATGTCGCTGTTTTTCTCTCACGAACAATTGAAAGTACCAATTAATCAGGTCAAAATCAATGAACAAAGTGCAGCCGGCAATGCTGCTTTACAGCATTTTCTTTCTAGAAAGTAGCATTTGCGTAGAATGTTTGTTGCATCTAGCTTGTCGGGGCGATTAAATACCCACCAAACCCGCTTCATGCCCGCACGCAAAATGATGTATTATGTCACGATGCTCTGTTCGCCAGGGCTATTGACATAACACTCGGTCTAAGGACCAGCACATGTGACAGCTTAAGGACCAGCACATGGAACGGGTTAAGGACCATGATCAAATTCAGGATGCATCCCCGATCCGGTGGCAACATGCGTGGTGGAACTCAAGTTGCCACGTCGTGATATCCTATGAACGAAGGATAGAAATGGTCTGTAACAATATTGATGATCGCTGCCCCATTCCTCGCAATCAGTGTCCTCTCCATGACAGATGATGAGCTTATCTCTTCCTTGAGTAGTACAGATCACACTATTCGATGATTGCAATATTTCGCAACTATTTGCAAGCGAGCCTAAGCGATAACTGTGTTGGCTCAACGAGAGCTCTTTTTGGTAGTAATGAGAAGAGACCTAGATACCCTCGGTTTACCCCGGTCACTCCACTAATAAATGAAATAAGTATCTATCCATAAAGCCGTGAAAACTTCAGTGACTCACACGGAAGGTATACCGTACGGTACTACTGATTCAGAACTACGGTTATATGGTAACTAAATGAACCATGTGATGTGCTCTCAAGACCTGTCTTACCTTACAGCCAATTCCTATCTCCGTCCGATCTGGCACAAGATACCGCGACACTCAGTCGTTTCTATCTTCATCAGCTCTGGTACAGCAGACACCAGCTTACAGCGGGATTAATAGTATCATCAGAGCCACTTTTGGGAACCACGACACACAATTATCCATTGATGTATCAGCAAAGATATACTCTGGAGATCGCTAAACACAATAGCATTTCTTCGTCTCATCCCAGAATCACGGTCCAAAACCGCTTCTGTCTACCGAGCTTTACTTGAGATACGAAGCGATGTCTTTGCTAGGCAATTATGACAACTTTCACGTCCTGCAACAAAGCTTTCACAGCCCGCGACATTAGTACTTCTGTCATCTGACAAAAGCAATCTTCTGACTCATCAGAGTTTTAATGATAAAGAAGTGCGTGAAACCTAATTTCTATGACTTTCGGTTGATCCAAAGCCCAAATCATTAAAACCACGCCATACCTAGGTTACTGTCAGCCCTCACGAGACATCATTCTACATCCCACAGATTTCCCACGAGGTCCAACAAAACCTTTTAGTATCCCCTTCGCAACACTCACAGATACTGTATCCGTATTTGACTCCTTTATATGCATTCGCGTACTTTCTACTGCCTTAGACAGTTGCGCGCCGTACGTAACTGCACAATGCTTTTGAATCTGTAAGTCCCCCCCATGGCCTCAAAGTTACCGGACGTTGATGTGAAACAACTAGCATCCTAAGCTTTAAACCCATCTATACGAGCAAACGCCGCTTCGTTTAGAGCTGGACCTCATTGCCCATTCACTCTACGAGGTACAGAAAATGTTTCTTCGAGATCGTGCACGTACTCTTATTTAGCATTTCTGCCGCTCGAGGTCTGTTGGACGGCCCTACGTGATAGTCTGACCATCCTTACCCCTCAGTAAATTAAAAAGAAATCTTGCGCGGCACGAATGATTTGTGCTACCACAGAGGACGCATAGGTACTACAGAGCTTCTCGGCAACCAAAACATCCTTCTCAGCATGAATTGGGCTATTCGACGCATCGCCTCTCTTTCTCTCACTATATTTCTACTATCATATCACAATCGACCCTCGCGACACGGAAAATATTTTCCGCAGTTCTTCCGTTATCAACCCTCTTTCGTCGAAAGAGAGTAGAAATGTAGCGGACACCGAAGTTCCCAGCGTTAGCCCTACCTTTTAGGAACCATCAACTGGCAATTGCCACAGCTTCTGAGGAGGGTCTCCTCGCCATTATAGTAATACAATTACGTAACCCTTAAGCATAGTTCTCTAAATATGCCCCTTTTGTCAGGTAGACAGAACTATGGTCGTACCCAGCACCCCTGGTAAGGCGTCGAAAGCATTTGCGACATATGTCACTTCAAAACTTCCCGCCTCTTCTCCAGAGGTACTGCTCGTACGTCAGGAAAATGACATAAAATAAAAAATATGACCATGTCAACTTCTCGCATTCAGATTAAGAATTCTGTTCCGTCCAGTGCAGGACAGATACGATCAGTGGTATAAGAGAGTGACATTTTTGCTCCCACGGACGCCCGGTTGGAGCATCTCAGACGGTGTTCTGATGGCACACTCTCATAACTGGTAAGCGCTTTCATTTAAGCAAATACGGCTTCGTGTCCCTAGGCCGCCAATCCTCTATATCCCGAGATCGTCAGCGAACTAACTTTGCTCCACCCTTCCAAAAGATAAAGCAGATTGCGACTTGGTCGCCGGAATGTTGGCAATGCTATCATGTGGAACAGGGTTGTTGTGCATCTTCTATGGAGAAAGTTTGACTCGGTGCATCCGCTTTACAGTGGATTCGAACGCTTTACTTACGGGAGATCCTAAAAATTAGTTGCGAGTTATGCTTTGATTTATCAAAATTAATATATATATATAAATGACGTTATCTCAAAAAATTAATGCTTACTATACTGTTGCATAATCAAGCGACTGTACTGCTTAACGCGAAACGAAAGGGTCCTATCGTCCTTATCAGACCAGTACCCTGGGACCTCTGAGCAACTGAGCTACGAAAAGAACTTTCAATCGCTTAACTATAATTACACTAACTAGTAATGTTAAGAAAAGATGACTCTATGCTGCCAAAAAGACTGCAATCGACTACAGTAAACGTGAGACCGCTTTTTGTTCTCGAATCAGTAGTGAAAACTTGACCGAGATACGAACAGGGGCCAAAACCGTCTAGATTTTCATGGCACTCTTCTTTAGTGAAAGAGCTCGCATCTTCTTTTCAAATGGGCTGTCAACATTCACTGAAGCGTAGAGGCGAAACTGTTTTTCAAACAGAAGCCAGAGGATGAGGATCCTTGCTCTCCTTTATTGGCCAACGCCCCTTTCCACGCATATTGTAGCTAAGCGATATGGCTTTGACGAGCAAAATCGCAAAATCGGATCCACAACGTGATAGAGTGCAACAATTGGAACGAGGGGCCTAGGAACAAACTCCCGGGTATCCGCTGGCAACCTTCCTGGAATCAAAAGCGTCTTTTTCATCTAATCGATTTCGCACCAACTCTGTCTCCAACCGCTGTATGCCATCAGGATAAAGTAATAACCGTTGTCTAAGGCATCCTCGAGCAAAAATCATGGCTTCGAGGACCTGATTTGCCAAAGATCGCTATCGATTTGAGCTTGCATCTTTGTAAAAAAGTGATGCGATTGAAAGAAATTTACTAAAACTTTACAGGGCTAGAGTTTGTAATCAACCAAAACGACCCGTCCTACGTCAACAATAGTAAGGCACAGGCCTCTTTTTCAAGCTGATCTCTTATTTTACTATTAAATTGCTAAGCAGTGATCTTTCCAGTCGCTCGGACCAAAAGAAAGCCGGAGATTTCGTGATGCGTCGTTTGATGCAACGCTACCGAGACTAACGTAGTGCTATCGCCATGATAGGAAAACCGATGGATGCAGCACGCATTGCAGGCAATATTTGGACGATTCCTTTCATGCAGCAAAAACCGCATGTTCCGACCTTCAACAAATGGTATGATAAGATTTTCGAGCCTTGCATGTACCTACCGTATGATCTGTTCAGCGATCATATTCATGCATCTGCGTTTGAGTGGAATTCGGGTTGTGTTCTTTTCTTCCAATGCAACGTCATTAAAGTATCCAGTGGGCTTGGGAATTATCATGGTTTTAAAATGCGGTACAAATATTTGCTGATCAGCCTATCATGACGCCTTTCAAAACTATAAAAAAGCTGTCAACTGCTATTGCAAGAAATTAAACGCGGTAACGCAGGAGTGGCCTTCGGCAAGCTTTCTCATGCGTTTGACGCAGCTAGCCTTACTAATATCGCTTGGAACATAATCCCATCGCAATTTTTGCGGCCTCATTAAAGTCAAATGTAATTCCGATGACCTCGACTATATTGTCGAGCTGCTATCAAAATGTTCGATCTTGAACAACTCTAAAGACGTCAAAAATTAGGACGAAGTGTATGCTACAGCGTATCTGATTAATTCAGACGCATAAGTTTGACGCATGACCCCGATGTGGACGACAGTTGCTTTGGCGCCGGCAGATCCAGCTGCCATTGGTCAGCACGAGAAGATCAATTGTCCAGTGTAAGATGTCGTCGGATTGGAGGCCGATCGTATCAACTCGAGGAACTGTCCTTTGTGACATCGGAGCAAATTAATCAGGCGAAGTCTGCAATGATCACTCTCCGACTCGTTTATTAGAGCTTACACTCGGCGATCACACGTAACGCTATGCGCAACAAACGTCAGATTGACATCATGCATGGAATGACTCCGGTATTCAGGATGCGGCCTTATATGAATACGGACTTAAACGAATGTTTTCTTAGCCCCTTGTATAAAAATATCTTTCACAAATATAAATTTAGCAGGATGTAATCATATAGCCAATAAGCTCTGACCTCGGATCCATGGTCATTCCGAGCACAGACACAAGCCGCAATCGGACAGCTCCTCGCTTCCCACGCACTCGCATCAGCTATGGAACCGGTACATTATGTGACACAAATCGGTTTAATGGGAATGGTGCGTTTGTTGAGGATTTAGAAGACGACGCAAAGGATAGCGACGAAATTCTGCAGAAACGTGCACGCCAGCTCCATTCACATACCCGCCGTAACGTGGTCTGTATTTTCATCATAATTGTCGGATTCGTCGCGCTTTTGCTCGTTTCGAATGTGAATCACGAGTCGCATCCGCACCTACGTCCAACTTCTGGCTATGCAAATCGACTTGAGCTGCTCACTCGCTTGCTTCGACAACTCCCTGATCTACCAATGCTGGAGAAGAGAGTTTCGGTCAATGGAGAGCTTAACACAACCCTCATTGTCGCTGAAAAGCTGGTACATAATGGCCCCATTGCCTTCTACACACGCGCGTACGAAAACAGTATACCTGGCCCTTTACTGGTGGTGAAAGCTGGGGATGTATTGAACATTCACTTGGTCAATAAATTAGGTCCCAATGTTATTGGTGTTTGGGCTGCCAATACAATGCATAAACCTAATAATACGAACTTGCACTTTCATGGAATGCACGTGGACCCCAAGGGTAAGGAGGACAATGTCTTTCGAATTGTGCCCCCGGGAGAGAGTGCCGATATTCAGCTGCATGTACCATGGAATCACCCGCGGGGGTTATTTCATTATCACCCACATGTCCATGGGTCGGTCTTCTTACAAATGGGAGGAGGTATGGTTGGTCCAATCGTTGTCGAAGATGACCCGACTACCGTTCCGAGTGAATTCTCGGCCATTCGTCAGAAACATGTGGTCGTGCTGCAAGAGTTTAAGTTTACGGGGGGTATCATGACGTCTCTCGTTGAAGCAGCTCAAGCGTCGCGTAGTACTCTTAACATGCAACTCACGTATACAGCCAAGACAAAGCTTGGAGCTCAAGTAAAAGCGCTATATCCGGATGTCCACGAATCAGAACGTCCGATACGAAAAGCGACATTATCAAAGGATTTATTGGATGAAATTACCATGAATGACAAAAAGCCGAATTATCCGCCAATGGCACAATATTTTGCTGTGAATGGCGAATATTTACCAAAAATTCAAATTCATCCGGATGAAAACGTCTTGCTTCGAATTTTACATGCTGGCGGCATTGCTTCACTCGAAATCCAAATTCCTGGCTGCTCAATCATTTTGGCTGCTAGTGATGGTCTTTACTTGCCAAAGCCTCGTGTGCGAAAGACTGTCATTCTTTCTCCTGGTGCTCGAGTTGATCTCGTAATAAATTGTGCGAGAACAGAAGATGGTCATGAATTCCTGCGTCCGATTCAGTCGGTGAAAGACCCAGATTTACACTTTTTTATGGGAAACCACTCAGATTTTTATTCGGGAGTTTTGGCTTTTCTCTACGTCCATGGTGAATCTCGAAATGAATCACTTGTCACAATGGTACCACCGCCATCTCAACTTTATGGACCGTCCAAGAGTTTACTAGCGTTGTCCGGAAAAGACCACCGCGAGATGGATATCGTCCCGTTTGAGTTTGAGTTTACAATGGGCGATCCAATTTTAAAAGATGATTACTACTATAAACCATGTTACGTAAACCACGAGTTATTTACCGGTCAGAGCATTCGAAATCTCACACTTGATCGTGTCCAAGAGTGGGTTATCACAAACAAGAGGAATGAAAATGGCGATGTGAGTCTAAAAAATCATCCATTTCATCTGCATACAAATGCCTTTCAAATTGTAAACATGAGTCATGGACATGGTGTGGACTACGAAATTGGCGATTGGCGCGATGTGATTTCAATCCCGACGCCAGGAGACGTAACGATCCGATTTCGACCCGAAGATTTTACGGGATTTGTTGCAGCACATTGTCATATTCTTGGTCATTCGGATGCTGGAATGATTGCCGGATTTGATATCATTCCGAACGATTCGAACTAATTTGATTGCATTATGTGATTGAAAATTAAAATAACGGTACCATGTTCCTTGTCGATGATAATCCAATATTCTACTTTCTTACTTCTTATTAACATCATCCTGAATTTCTTCAACCGTTTTACCTTTCGTCTCGGGTACAAATTTTAACGAAAAGGCAAATGCGAGGGCGAGTAGAATAGCAAACGGCACAAATATTTCATCTTCGAGCTCTCTTTGCATCGTAGGGAAGAAGATACCGATGAGAAAGAGTCCAAACCAATTGACCATCGTAGCAATCGATGTTGCTGTTGTTCGAGACCTGGGGGGGAACATCTCAGCAGCAATGAGCCATGGGATGGGTCCGAGTCCGATTTCAAAAAACCAAACAAAACTCATGACCCCACCGACGCTAAAGAGACTACCGAATGGCAGTACATCCAATAGCCCAAGCGTCAAGATGCCACTTGATACAAGCATTCCCATAATTGACCAAAGAAGCAATGGACGACGTCCAGCTGAGTCCATGAGCATGAGGGCTACAATGGTAGCCATAACATTGATAATGTATACAAGAGTGATACCAAAGCGTGGATCCTCAAGTCCAGCATTTTGAAAAAATGAACTCGCATAAAACATGACAGCATTTATCCCACTAAGCTGCTGAGCAAGTTGTAACGTGATGGCAACCAAAAGAGGCAGTCGAATGTTTTCATCACGCAGCACTTGGCTAATCCCTTGTCCATCACCCGTTTCCCTGAAACTAGCGGCTGAAATACTGTCCAATTCATCAAACACATCGTCCAACTGACGCAAGTAACGCAACGTTACTTCTGCTTCCTTTTCGTCGCCATTATTTAACAACCACCGTGGACTTTCGACTAAAAATGACATCAGTCCCACTTGTACCACTCCCAAGAGACCTGCAAACCCAAACATGAACCGCCAGCCTGGATGTGCCAGACTCGTACTCTCGTTCGCAAACCCGAATGCAATAAGAATAGTACATAAGATACCAAGAACCATGGCCAATTGGTATGTTGTACCAAGCGCACCCCGAAGATTTGGAGGCGCAAGTTCCCCTAGATAAAGTGGGACAATAACCGTAGCTGTACCCGAGGCAATTCCTACCAAAAACCGCCCGACAATAAGCATGGACATATTCATGGCGAATGCCATGACCGCACCCGACAGAATAAAGAGGCATGAAGTGGCAAGCATGGTCTTTCTTCGACCAAGAAACGTGTTAAGTCGGCCGCCAACTAGGGAACCAATGGGTCCACCGACAGCAAAACTTGAGACACAAAGTGCCCACATGAAGTTAGAGTGGCCAGGAAAGACTACAGCACTATCCATTGCACCCGTGACTGCCGTATTGTACCCATACTGAAAAGCATTGATTACAGCGACCATGCACGAGACCAGCAAGGGATTTGTGTACCCTGGCATCACTGCGCCGTCTTCGTCTTCGAGCAACGGTTTTCTTTCACCATGCTAGTCGACAAAATTTGATCTGAATTAGATCATGGTGCATTGTATGATGAATCAAATGAGAACCAGTACCTTGATTATTAGTCGCGATAAATTGGCCCAGGAACCGCGAGACTGAAGTTGTGGGAAGTCTCGCTCGCTTCGAAAAGACCGAGTTCGCATACCTGGAATCACTCGAAACGGAAGCTCCTGGTATAGTCGTTTCTGCTCTTCAACTACAAGCAAGCGAAGATGAATGGTGTGAATTCCAATTGGTAGTACGCGGTGACGCACCGTAGTATTTCAAGTCATGCATGGTGTTAGCTCGATTCTTAAGTCCATTCGCCCTTTTCATATCATCCCAACTCGTTTCTCTGGCCAAAATCAAGTCATTGCTTGAAACGGTGGCACTGAGTCTCGGCATCTTGACAAGAAATTAAAAGTGTACGCGACTGTCCAAGTTTCAATCGCGACTGTCAGCCAATATCTTAACTAAATACGCGATCATTCGTCGCAGACGGAAAGTGATTTTTGTTGACTCTTAGTAGAAATATTAGGAATACCATAGAAACAGACAAGATCAAGTCGCAGAACGCACTTTTCACTTATAAATTGATGGTGCACCGATAGCTTGGAGGGTCATATCGATATATGCAGAAACATTGCATGTATTACTTTGTCAACACCTGAGATCAATGACGGTACTAACGTTAAAATGGGATTACCGTGACAATTTGCACAGACGAAGCTTTTGACTCGTAGCGACCTCTATGATAAATGTATTCAGGATTAGGTCTCTAGGATGTGGAGCCAAATTTTTGATAGTACCAGAATTCAAACACTGCAGTTGTGAAAAGTACCATTACTCTACTTAGTATGAGATCACAGAGTACTGGATAACAGAACTCCAACACGTGAATTCAAGCGGAGTTGCCGTGGATCTCGCACAGATGTAATAGTCCGCTTTAATTGACACTTAGTGAGGGGATTCGTACGCTCCAAAAGCGAAAGTCTTTTAACTGAGACGTAATTATTTGCGCTTACTAAATCTCAAGAGTGACACTTAAATTTGGAGTCAGTTTGAGCTAATTCATTGTGTATTTATTCTACCTTTTCGACAAAAGCAAAACTCTCATTTACTACACTAGGACAGGAGTCCCATTTTAAATATGGTGCTTTACTTTGACAGTTCTGAGCTCCGCTCTACGTCGAACAATAATCAAGACATTGTGTACTGTTACATTTCTCAATGACACTCACACTTTGATTGTATTCTTGAGACATCACGCAACAATGAGCGGTCCACAGTGCAATATTTTTTCCCTTCATTGAGCCTATATAACCCTTCTTTTTTGAACATCATTAACATCAAGATTTCTATCATTTTCGTACCCAAAGAATTCAACAACCACTTAAAATGGCGCGGTCTCCGCGACCAACGATCTATGCACCCTTATCGGTGAGACTGCCGAGATGGTCTTCGATGTCATCATCATGATGACTCTACAAATTTTGACCTAGTGACTTCGCCTCCACCGAGAGACATACGGCATAGAAATTCGCTGAAAATGATCTCGGCTGTCTGCAAGCGCAAGAGGAGCAACGACATTCGCGATGCAATCACGTGTTTGCAGCGGGGCTGCCGTAACTCTTTCGCATAGAGGAAGTTTAGTTAAGGTCGGTGATCTTCGTTCTATACATAGAACCAGTACGAGTGTAGCGGATCGCAATTCGCTTTCTCCAAGAGTAACAACAGCGTTAACCTAAGGCAAATTAATTCTTCCGTACAAAAAAGTAAACTGTATTTCCCAATTTTATCTGCGGCAAAGCCGCTTATATCTAAATCTACCCATCTACGTAGAAAATCAAATTAAATGTACAACAACTGGCTGTTTCAGCCACGTACTGACTTGTTGTTGAAGTGTAGTCACACCATTGTGTGGTCAAATTATCTTGTGTGACCCCGTTATACTTGTTCCTATTAAGAATGTAAACACGTGTGCGCGCATCCATGGTTGGTCCTTGACTCTCGTGTGGAAAACGACTTCCGCTCGGCAGGTCTCGCTGCAGAGGCAAAGGACGCGATCACTCGATCGTTGGGCGTCTACAAGGCCGGCCCTTTACGCAGGACAATGGAGTAGCGCGACATACACCGAAGACTGACAGTTCATTTTCGGCCACTACAAGAGCTGAGATTGACCAAAGAAAAGCTCTCCGAGCTCGCTTCTTGGTTCCTAAAGATCTCCCCATGAATAGTTACCGCGCTCGCCTTCGCGCATAAATTGAAGGCGCTCCTGTACCCGCAATGCGGACGATTTTTGTAGTGCCCAGCCTTGGCGTAACCGCTGCAGATGACGAAGTGCTCTTTGAGCGATGGAAGCAGCGGCACCGAAAACTTTCCTCGCTGGCTAACTTACAGTGGATCCACAAAAAGGTGGACGTGCACGTGGAAGCCATCTTCAGTTCGAGTTTGCCAAACTCAAGGCGCAACGCCGACTTCCTTCGAATTGTCGCCCCACAACGTATGGGAATCCCCTCACGCTCCCGCGAGCTCTGTGGTCTCTCACACGGGTGAGCCCACAACCGCATTAGCTCAGGGACATTTCTCGAGCTCAGCTCATGGCCCTTCGGCTTCCATGGGTATTGCCGAGAAGCGCGGTGCGTGTGACGACGCAGAACGTCATGATCCATCTGATCAAAAGCGTCCACGACGTTTGGGAAGTTTTGCCGAAGTGGTACCTCAGACTCCCACGTGTTCTCAAAGTTGGGGTATAGTTTACAAGATACTAGGTTTGACTTTGGCGACAACATCGACCCAAAAAACATTCCACGTGATTGGCAACTCCATTCTCACCCGAGAAGAGTCGGCAGCGGAAAACAAGGACTTAGTCGATCGCCGTCCGGTGACCCGTGGTGCTCTACAAGCTCTTGAGGACGATATCTGTGACAGTAAAGACATCCCTGAGCGTCATGCTGGGGCCGCATTCCGCTGCGCAGAAGAGTAGGGAGCTTGCTTTCTAAAGCACGTCGTGCTTCGACTGCCCCATGTTGAGGACTATTGCGCATTGTCGGAGTGGCTTCTGGTCGTTGAGCATACGAATGCGTCGCATCATACAACGGTAGAGCGCTTGGCGCCTTTGAATATGGAAATCGTTGCACTCCTTGCTCAAAACCAGTTGTCGTTTCAGCTTCTGGGTGTTGAGCGCCTGTGGGCGCCGCTCTGGCGCCAACGCTTCCGCGTTCACTTGCACCAGATCCCGGTACGGCTTAAACAAGCTCACATAAAACACCGGGTGGGTGTGCATCTTTCTCGGAAGGTTTGGCGTATATGCATGGCCCCGCTTTGCCACAACCTTGAAAAGTTCGATAGACCGTGGAGGAAGCTTCGTCTTAAAGGCACCAGGAAATGCATAGGCAGGAAGGCTTTAGCATTACCAGTAAAGAAATCGAGGTCCCTCGACCCCAAACTTTTCAACATTTCCTCTACCTCTTCTGTCTGTATACTTCTTCTGTATGTCTCAACTTGTAAGACACTCAACATGGGAGTCAGGAAGTCATCGACTTCTCTAAGCACAACAAGAGAACTGACATATGCTAGCCTCTTTTCAGACAAGCCTTGAATCATAGGATGGCAGCGTCAGCGGGATGTGAGAATTAACGAGCCCGTTCGCGTATAACGGCGTGTAACCGGAAGATGTATGCACTGCATTGCTAAATGCGAACTCCACAAGTGGCAGCATGGCGCTTCAAGTGCCTCGGCGCCTCAGCGCATACGCTGCATAACAGGTCATCAACGAAGCGATCCACACTCCAATTCGACCATCAGTCTGCAGATGGTCCACTATTGATATATTAACTTTGCGCCCAGCACCTTCAAGATTGTCAAACATACTTCTCAGTGAAGTGTGGATCTCTGTCAGAAACGTTACGACAGATTCTCTGTGAGGATGGAGCAATTCCCTTTTTTGCACTAGGGCATGCAGGACGGGCTTAAAATGCTGATGTCTCTGCTTGGCCCTAAGGGCGTGGAACACCTTGTTACGCAAGTTTCCAAAGCGATAAGCGCGCGCCTAGAGGCGCTTTCGAGCTATGAAAATGCTCTGCTAGAGCACCTACTTCAGAAGATGTTAGCGTCAGCTGCGTCCATGACGCAACCGTCGGCGAAAAATAACTCCTCCCAACCCAGGCCGCTCATGGTGAGCGTTGTGACCTTTGAGGATAAGGCTGGTGAGAAACTTCTGATCTTGGTGAGAGACACCGACAGGGCTATGGCATCCGCCATGCTCCAAAACGAGCAACAGCGCGTGGCGCTAGCTCTTTCCAAGGTCTGGGGTCGCACGTGAGGATGGGAATGACGTGCGGCACTTCGGTTGAAGCGGCGTTTCACTTCTAAACGGAGCTGCAGCTACAGCTTTTGAAAGTGTTCTAGCCGCCAAACCAGGTATATTGCGTGCAATTGTGTTTCCCTGCCGCCCGAATGAGTTGGTGGATTCTGTCCAAGAGTTGAGAACTCTCATTACCAGGATGGCAGCCGATCCACTCCCCGAGGCGGTAACAGTGACCATCTTTATAGAAGTCCTTCGAGCTGACGTGGCCAGAATGGAAGTTTTCCATGTGCATCCGTTTTCTTTTGAAGAAGTGGTGAATGTGGCATTGAATACCGAATTCAACTTTAAGTCGGCACGACTCGATTCAAAGGCACACCCTCAGAGCTCGTT